CCACCACCACCACCACCACCACCACCACCACCACCACCACCACCACAGTCTGCAGTTTTTCTCTTTTTCTGCGCACCAGCACTAATTTTTAGGCCCATACCGAATTTATGTTTCATCTTCATGAGGTTACTCACACTCCAAGCAGCCGCCTTCTCACCAACCCTAGCGTCTTTAGCAAAAACCATGCGCGGAGTTTTATCTTCCAGAATTCTATCAGCGGTGTGTACCTGGCAAATTTTCTCTATTTTTTCGAATATGCTATATCGTGCTCTTTACACGCTTTATCCAATGGATTTATCCCAGGATCACTGCGTGCTAATCGTCTAGCCAACTTGGTACCCAGTCCACAATACTGGTAGCCCGGTATATGCAATTCAATGGGTAACTTGTTGATGATATCGTTGACAATTCCTTTACCCTTCCGCGTTCTAAGACGTTTGCCCACCGCCATGCTCTTGCGCTGACTGAAATGCAAGTCTATAAATGTCATGTATTTATGGAGCTTGCCAGCAGTTGTCAAGATGGAGTTCAAGCAGCAAAGTTCGAAGCTGCCAGTGATGAATTTCGATAAGATAACAGAGAAAAAGAAAGATAATCAAAAGAATCGTCACGGCCCACTTTTACCCAATACCGTACGTGCAATTATCTGTGGACCCTCAAACTGTGGTAAAACGAATGCCCTGTTCGCTCTCATTACCCACCCTAATGGGCTGAGATTTCAAAACGTCTATGTTTACTCCAAGTCCTTAAATCGACCGAAATATCAGTTTTTGAAAAAATTATTGACAACAGTGAAAGTTATTGGCTATTTTCCATTTAATGATCATGAAGAGGTGGTCTGACCCGAGGAAATTCATCCAAATTCTCTTATGATATTTGATGATGTCGCGTGTGAAAAACAGGATAATATGCATGCATTCTTTTGCATGGGTCGCCATCAAACTGTAGACTGCTTTTATCTCTGTCAGACCTATGCTCGTATTCCAAAACACTTGATACGTGATAATACAAATTTACTCATTCTCTTCCGTCAGGATGAAATGAATTTGAAACACATTTATCAGGATCATGTTAATACAGACATGCCATACCAAGAGTTCAAAGATTTGTGTTCTGCTTGTTGGAATAATGATAAGCATGGGGTCATCACCATCAGCAAAGACTGTGAATTACATGAGGAACGCTATCGACGAGGATTTGATTGTTTTGTATGTATAAAAACTAGCTGATGATTGGCGCTCGTGACAGTGTTGAATTGAACGTAAAACCTTCAACATGCGGCCAACGGTCTTGCAAGAGGAGTCTGATGTATTGCATCACATTGCTGAGGCAAGCAAAGCAATTCGTCATAATTATCAACCATTAAAGATGGGCAAACGTATGGCCGAACGAGCTAGAACTCCTGAACCGTTAAGCAATCAACTCGACGATACCAAGAATACGGTGGCCTCAGTGCTCGCAGACGCAGCTGATAAATCATCCGCGCCATCTGATGTTGGGAATGTTCTCCAGTGGTATCTTAACATGTTCGGCACAAAAGAAGAAAAACATTTGGATAAACAATTTGGAGTTCGAAGAGTGGATGACCAATGGAAAATTGGGGATGCTGAGGTGATCTTCAATGGAGATAGAATGACTATTGACGACAAGCCGTTTCGCTTAACTTCAGGTTTGGCATCTTTGATATTCCATAGAGATCCAGAAACCGCTAATGTGACATCAACAGATCAAATGCACTATGGTAAAATTCTGCGCCGTACGAATGCACATCGATTGTACTATGATCCAAATGAGGTTGTGAGACGCGAAAATCCTACAGAAAAATTTTTGAATATCACTGAGCCTCTAATTAGACCGTATGAAAAGAGCGGTAAAAGGATAATACCAGAGCTTATGATGGCTCCAAGGACAATGTCCAGGAAAATGTATTATATTTACTGGGATAATCCAAGTGGATTGGTGGATAGAATCCGCTTGCTAATGGCATCTCAAACTGCCGGTAAACCTAATCATTCCAATGAAATTCTCTCTATTATCGAAGAACTACGTGAAGCTGGAATTATATATTAAAGTTTACACTCGCGTGAATCATCTCATTCTCATCATGAGTGTCGATGTGTTTGGACGACAGTTATCACACAGCAGCAGCAGCAAGCTCGCCACTGTTGGAAGACGAGGTCCGCCAGGTGATGGATTTACACGTACTGCTAAAGGGAATTATACTTTACACGTGGCAGGTTGATCTCGTGGATATTATCAAATATGCACAGAGTAACAAAAATTTTCACCATCTTCTAACGGTAGTTAATATTTTCTCCAAGTATGCATGGGCCAGTCCGATTAAATCAAAAAGTGCCAATGACGTTCGAATGCCATGAATCTCATCTTGCAAGAGGGGCGTATTCCAAAAAAACTCCATGTTGATCAAGGCAAAGAGTTTCACAATAAAAATTATCAAGCTCTCATGGGGGAGTATAAGATGCACATATACTCAACCTTCAGCAGCCTTAAGGCATCGATATGCGAACGCTTCAATAGAACATTGAAAAATAAAATGTGGAAACAATTCTCAATTCGTGTAACGTACAAATGGATTGATACTATTGGTGATTTCGTTGCGGACTATAATAACACGAAACATCGTACAATAAAAATGAAACCTAAAGATGTTACATCCAAGAATGAAAAATCGTTGCTGAAATCAATATATAAGAATGGGAAATTTAAATTCAAAGCGGGTGATAAAGTGCGAGTCAGCAAGTATAAAACTATTTTCGAAAAAGGCTATCCCCCCAACTGGACAACTGAAATATTTACCATTAAAAAAGTGCAAAATTCCAATCCCGTAACATATAAGCTGGTTGATGGGAAAGATGATGCAATTGAAGGTGGCTTCTACCAAGAGGAGTTGAGTCACGTCATGTATCCAGATGTGTTTCTCGTTGAGAAGGTGCTGACGAGGAGGGAGAAGAAGGAATATGTCAAGTGGCTGGGATTTCATGATAGTTGGATAGACTCTAATCAAATGTAATTTTATAATAAAGAAAAACATTATTTGGAAAATATTTGTGACTTTGATTCATTGTAACCATAACGCACAATATCTGTTGAATCAAGTCAAACAATTCTCTTATCATCATCAAAACTCAGTGCTAACTTGTTCTATTTCACCGTGTAAACTTGCGGTTTTTTACTTTGAATCAAATACTGTGATTTCACCAGTTTCTTCTGCTGAAAGAGACAATTTTTATAGTCTTCAAAGGTAATTGTTCTCAGTGTTGCCCCTCTCACACCCTTGGCCCGTTTTTTGTCCCGCGCATCACCCAACACCTTGAAAGTATTAAGCTTGGCACCCAGACCCACAAAATGAGTCATAATTTTACCATTACATTCATCCTTCATTAAACCTATCACTTTTTTATTCACTCTTGGTATTTGATAAACATTCTCTGCTGGGTAGTCTGAATTGTCAAATTTCGAAATATCACTTTTGATGAAGTCAGAAATTTCTGGAACATCATACTGATATAGAAGGCTGTCTGTGTCTGTGTACATTAATTTAGATCGCTCTCCAAACTCACGTTTCATATAATTATAGTGGAAATCGTAGATGTAAATTTCTGACAAGCCCAAGATGGCAAATCCAATGTAAATTGGTTTATAGCAGGGCCCGGCAACCTGGGCTCATCGGGCTCACGCGGCTCCCGAGGTTCGTTAGTGAGAGCTGGGAGAGGGGCCTCATCCACTTAACGAAACTACCTGCTCTAATTCGATTTTTCTCTCTCTCTGAGGCCTAGTTTGACCAATATCAGCAGAGGGCGGCCGTGTGATCGAGCGGCAATTTTCAACTTT